AGCACAAAAGCAGTGTTAAGTCGCTGGGGGATATTTGTAGCAATAGCCAACAATACATTTTATGGGTCACAATTATACATTTCTCTTTTATGCCAAAAATCATTAGGATATTAAGTAAAGATCATGTTCCATGAAGATATTTAGTAAATTTCCTACTGTAAATATATCAAAACTTAATTTTTGATTAGTAATATGCATTGCTAAGAACTTCATTTGAACAACTTTAAAGATGATTTTCTCAATATTTAGATTTTTTTGCACCCTCAGATTCCAGATTTTCAAATAGTTGTATCTCGACTAAATATTGTCCGATCCTAACAAACTATACATCAATGGAAAGCTTATTTATTTAGCTTTCAGTTGATGTATACATCTAAATTTCGAAAAATTGACCCTTATGACTGGTTTTGTGCTCCAGGGTCACATATTACAATCTCATAGTGCCTTCAGTCACATAGATTCTTATTTACTGTGTAAATGCATATTCCTCACGATCTTATTGTGCATGATTCATTATTGTGCATGGAACATTCCAATTTTAATCAAATATGCAATATTACAGTCAAGTAAAATGGGTTGTGAGCAGTATTTCGTGTTGATTTAAACATGCACCTCCTGACTCACCTGTTCTGGGCTCATGTAAATACGGGTTCCTGTCCTTTTAGTCCGTTCCAGCAGATGCTCGTCATTATTATTTTCTGCTGCGGTCACGAGGCCGAAGTCTCCAACCTTTACTCTTCCCTCGCTGCTGAACATTATGTTCAACGGCTGAAACAAAGGAACAGAAAAGAGCAATCAGTACAGCATCAAACCAGGACTTTTCCTTTTCAATTCAGGGTTATTATCGTTAACTACAACTGAAATAAAAAACATTTTCTTTACTTAAAAAAAAAAAAGTGTTAACTGAAATAAAATTATATATATACAGGTGCATCTCAATAAATTAGAATGTTGTGGAAAAGTTCATTTATTTCAGTAATTCAACTCAAATTGTGAAACTCGTGTATTAAATAAATTCAGTGCACACAGACTGAAGTAGTTTAAGTCTTTGGTTCTTTTAATTGTGATGATTTTGGCTCACATTTAACAAAAACCCACCAATTCACTCTCTCAACAAATTAGAATACTTCATAAGACCAATAAAAAAAACATTTTTAGTGAATTGTTGGCCTTCTGGAAAGTATGCTCATTTACTGTACATGTACTCAATACTACCTCAGGAATCATTATAAAATCATTTAAAAATGCATTTCGTGATCGCTTTAACACCCAATTGGGTGTGTCCAATACCCACCTTCAGGTCTCTGTGGATCAAACCCTTGGAGTGGATGTACTCCACGGCCTTCAGCACCTGCCTGTTGATCTGTGCTGCCTCCGTCCTCCTCTCTGGGTCATGAACATCTGAAGAGTTTCTTTTATCAATCCAGGCACGAAGCGTGTCTCCCTCACACAGCTCCATCTGAATGTAGAGGAACTTTGTTCCCGGGTCACTGCCAGAGCTAAAGCCAGCAGACAGAGAGAGCAGCACAAATACACATGTTACAGCTGGAGACTGCAGCTTGTTTCAGAAAGAGTTGTTTTCGGTGAATTACTCTGAGAGGCTGTAGCTCTCTGAAGACTCTGTCTGTACGCCGTGTCCTCGACCCAAGCTGTGTAGTAGCGGACGATGTTGGCGTTATTAAACTTAGCCAAAGCACCGACCTCACGACGAGCTTTTCTAGGGAAATACAGAATATATTATTGCTGTATATTTTGCTTTAAAATTTTTAGCTGTTGGCCTAGATAACTTTTTTGGACATCAATGCGAAGCCTATCTAACATTGCAGGTATTAGGATGATGCAACCTATAGAACACATATTGCATGAATTATTTAAAGACAAAGACGATACAAAAACTTAATTGACTTACTTTGTACTCTTCACTATCTTCACAGCATAATATGTGTTCTCAAGTACTCGTCTTGCCTTGAAAACACGGCCGAAGCCACCTTTGCCAATTGGATATATTGAGTCAAAGTCTTCTAAAAACCTACAAAGACGAACATAAGCGCTTCAAAACAATGGGTTTCTAAAGCTTTTCAAAAGCTATGCTGAATGGCACAAAGGCAACGGGTTAGGATTTACCTCGACTTTGTAGCGTGGTTTGACGTTTGACCTCCAGATGGCTTTGATGGGTTCTGTGCGCTCATGTTAGGACCAACCTGTGGAAAGTATTAGAAGAAGAAAATACCAGGAAAAATAATTAATCTTTTTTTCTTGTGTTTGGAGAACATTGGAACTGGTTTTATAAAAACATTCAATATATATATATATATATATATAATTTATTTTATAAAACTTTGAATTTCTTTTTATGGAAGCCAATTTCTGCCAGATAAGAAAAAATGCTTTGATAAATCCTAATGACATAAATAGTCATAATTATTAGATAATTGTTGATATTACTACGATATAAAAAGGCAAAATTATGACATAAAAAGCCATGATTATAAGATAAAAGGTCGATATTATTATGGTATTAAAAGGGTAAAATGATGACATAAAAAATCATTATTATGACAAAAATAACATATAAATATAATTTTTTTCATGTCATAATTTTGACTTTTTTACCATAAATTTGCCTCATAATATTTAGTAATAATTATTACTTTTTATCTGAAAATTTCGAATTGTAATTTTTATGGTTTACCGAAGCACGAGTTTTTCTTATGTAGCGGAAATGACCACCTTTGCATAAGGTCTCATTTTACCATTTTTTTTCCATTTATCTATTAATTTTGCAACCATTACTTTATGGAGGATACTCATTATAAAGAACAACATACACATCCCAAAATTCTCATACATACATATTTTCAGTCTTACTTTCTTTGTATTTTTAATTTGTCACAGAAAACGCAACTCATTTCTCAGATAACGTCACTTTGTTTTATTTTACAGCTCAGCTAATGCTATTTTGTACACTTTTCCTCCCCATTACTGGTAAATATTGTTGGAATACCTCTTTACTCCTAGCCAGACCATTGGGTGACAGTTTAAAATTTGGTGCTAATCTAAAAAAATGTATTACATTTTTTTTATTTTGTGTCATTAATGATCGAAAAAACGGTAAAATCTAAAAATGCACCAACTGCAAAAGCTTACTTTATTTTCGGCGTCACATCCAGTGGACTCACACTCTGCAACACAGATCGATTTCATAAGTTCACATATAATACGCTAAAATATGTTTATGTTTTATGAAATGGATAGCTTCTAATATAGCCTGTGAAATCTGTGAATAAGTTAAAAATGCAAACGCTACCAATAACACAGACTGGACTTACAGGACTTATGACCATAGGAGAACTAACACCAGATGAGTCTTTGGAGACAGTAGAAGAACTTGTGCTGGGAGTTTCAGACGAGCTTTTTGAGGAGTGCTGTGCATCCTGAGATTTACTATCAAACAGATAAACTGTAAATTTCAATGCATCTTTATATGCACAGCATGCATATAATAGATAAAGATATAAAGATGCATTGTTCATTGCAGCTTACGATGTCTCTTGAGTTTGTGAAGAGCTGTCATTTTCAGAACTCTGTTAATTACAAACATGCATGTGCATTAATAAACATGACATGGTTAACATCTAGACCATAAACATCGCTGTATTTTCTGAAGCGTCCTGCCTGTGTGGTCCATCCGGATTGCTCATTAATTTCACTCCAAGCGTACTGAGCAGCATGTTGCTTCGCCTCTTTTGTGCTCTTTCCTTGTCCTTCAGGGTATTCCTTCCCCTTTATGATAACTTTATATACAAACCTGAAACAGAAGATTTCAGTTTTTCTTTTCTAACTCAAACCAATCTGCAGAGTTATGGCCTGTTCAAGACTTACTCTGGGTTGTGAGGAGGGCCTCGTTTCTCCACTAATTTGAAATCAAACGCACGATTATGTTTCTGGCAGTAGTTATTGAGAAGTGCTATGTAGTTGCCGTCAGGCGTGATGCTTCGAGATTCATCAGCAAAACTCAAGCTGACACGATCCAGGCTAGCACTTAAATACAAAAGACAAGATGTCAAAACTTAACGTGTGCAGAATATACAGTATGGTAAAATAACCTATTAAAGGAATAGGAGAAATGTTGCATTGCATCACTTGCTCTGAAGTGAATGGGTGCCGTCAGAATGAGAGCTGATAAAAACATCACAATAATCCACAGCACTCGTCCATCAGTTAACATCTGGAGAAGCTGAAACAAATCCAGTTTATAATCCATAATAACGCTTCCTCCAGTGAGTCAGTGTTCTGGTGTGAATCAGGAGAGAAATCTGCACAGATCAAGCAGTGTTTAAACAGCTCGAAACTAATATGTGGCTGGATTTTAGAGGTTCTAGAGACAACAGCAGATGCACTTTTTCACTGGAGGAACAGTTATTATGGATTATAGACTCGTGTTTGAGTTATAAACGTCTTAATGCTGGGTTTGTTTCAGCTTTTGTCTTCTCCAGATGTTCACTGATGGACTGGAGTGCTGTGGATTATTGTGATGTTTTTATCAGCTCTCATTCTGACGGCACCCATTCATTGCAAGTGACGCAATGCTACATTTCTCCAAATCTGATGAAGAAACAAACTCGGACGGCCTGAGAGTGAGCACATTTTCAAATATAAATAATCTACTATCAGTCATGATGTTGTTTATTATCATTTACCTACGAGACGCAACCTCTGGCTTCTGTGCTCTATTGCTGTCGTCCTCGAAGACCTTAAACGCAAAAAAAATAAAATAAAAGTCAAAATAAAAAATAGATTAGAGCATTAGACAGTCCAAGTTGATAAAAGCTGTGCTACCTCTGCATTTTGTGTTTTGTTCAGCTCTTCGTAAACACGGGTTGCCGCTGCTTCTTTAGCGTCCTTCTTATTTTTTCCATAAGCCTCAGGAAACTCTCTATCACCGCAAACATACTTACAGACATAAGTACACAATCTGCAAAAGAGATGAGAGAGAATCAACTGTTATTTCTTGCAAGGCACTGGAATTGATTTTGCAGTTCATGCACATTTTAATTTAAAAGGTACTGTACTTTTCTATCTTTTTCTATCACAACAGGCGTGTGTGCAAATGTTTCAGTACTCACCGAGTGCTTCCTGGAGCCATTATGGATCTGGATTCATGAGCCTTGAAAAATAACTTGCTCTTCTGTGAATATTCATTAAGCCAGCAAATATAATTCCTCTGAGATACAGTCATATTGCTGGGAGAGTTTTGAACAGATGACGTTGTCTGCAGTTAAAGACACATACATTAATTCTTAAACAAATGATCTAGATTCTAGAACATATTTATAACAAAATAAATATATGAAATTTGGCAACACTTTACAATAAGGTCCCATTAGTAATGCATTAATTAACAGCGAGCAATACTTTTGTTACCGTATTTATTAATGTTCAGTAACGTTAGTTATTAAAAATACTATTAGCTCAAATCCATTAAATAATATTAACAGATACATCTGATTTAATAATGTATTAAATGTTGAAATTAACATGAACTAAGATTAATAAATGCTTTAGAAGTATTTTCATTGTTAGAACTAATGCATTATCACAAAATTAAATAAATATGATGGTGTACAATATTAAACATCATACTTAATATTATATAGATACAATAATATGTATTATAGCGCTTAAATTATTTAATATTTAATATTTAAATTAAAATATTCCCAAACCTATAAATGCTTTAGAATATTAGATGTGTGCATTTTTAAAACAATATTATACATAATATTATATAATGTATATATATATATATATATTTTAGTATAATATTAAACATAATATTTAATATTATATATGCATTTTTATATAGAGCACTAACAATATATATAAAAAATAGATAAGTAAATAAACATGTATTATGTTTATATATTATAATAAACAATATGTGTATATATAAGAAGATATCAGTGAAAATATGTTATGTATTATATAACATTTGTAAGTTTTCAAAATAATTTGAATTATATCCTCCTGGCACCCATGCATAGACTTTTGTCTTCTGTAGAGGACATTATATTTGAGTGAATTTCTCTACATGCCACAGTTTCAAGTCTGTCCTGTTCGAGACGCAGTGTAACCATGTTGTGTAGAACGGAAATGCCAATTTATGGACATTTTACGCACATATTTCACAAAGGACAGTAGCATATCAAATCATTCTTTTATATCTTTCATAACATAGTTGAGATTAATCGTCTTTGTACAAAGTCCTGAATCCTAAAAACTGATTGGTGAATGAAAAAATAAAACTTTGTTTTTGCCTATGCATGCCTTTTCATGTGCATTTGACTTTTTTTTTTTTTTGAAGGACAAAGAATAAAATATGAACATTTTCAAAAATGTTTTTGTTTCTACATTTGCTTCTTATGCATAAAAAAAATTCACAAAACTCTTTTTTATGATTCTCAGGATATATACACACACACACACACACACACACACACAGAGTAAATATTTTTTTACTTACAGGATCAATATTTTGAGTGATTTTTATGGCTCTTAGGAGGATATATATACACACACACACAGTAAATAATATTTTTAAATATATAACAGGCTATAATTTGTACTTACAGGATCAATATTTTGAGTGATTTTTACGGCTCTTAGGAGGATATACACACACAGTAAATAATATTTTTAAATATATAACAGGCTATAATTTGTACTTACAGGATCAATATTTTGAGTGATTTTTACGGCTCTTAGGAGGATATACACACACAGTAAATAATATTTTTAAATATATAACAGGCTATAATTTGTACTTACAGGATCAATATTTTGAGTGATTTTTATGGCTCTCAGGAGGATATATATATACACACACACACAGTAAATAATAAAAAAAAATATATAACATATTTGAACATACAGGTTCAATATTCTGAGTGATGTTTATGCCATTGAGCGCGTTCTGCTTGGCCTCTTTCTTGGTTTTGCCAGAGCCCTCAGAATACCGCTGTCCGCTCACAACAGCCCTCATAGCGAACCTGACAGCACAGCAATGATGTTAACAGCTCGCAGCAGCTCAGACGCCGCGCATCTACTGAACTGCTTGTAATGCAAATCCATGAGATCTTAATAACAGTACAGCAGATACTGACATGAAATTATATAAATATCAGCCGTCGCTCTATATCTCCAGTAATATGTCTTAGTAAGATGAGATTTGATCAAAACATAAAATGCAATGCAATCCAGTGCTGATTGAACTCAATGATTATACGCAGCATATAATGTTCCATGATGTCAATGCAAGTGAATTAACAGCCATGTCTTATATATGATTTAAAATGTCTCAGTGCGACTGCTACAATGGCCTCATGTCCAGAGAAACAGACTGGAATAATATGTGACCCTGCAGCACAAAAGCAGTGTTAAGTCGCTGGGGGATATTTGTAGCAATAGCCAAAAATACATTGTATGGGTCAAAATTATATATTTTTCTTTTATGCCAAAAATCATTAGGATATTAAGTAAAGATCATGTTCCATGAAGATATTTAGTAAATTTCCTACCGTAAATATATCAAAACTTAATTTTTGATTAGTAATATGATATGCATGGCTAAGAACTTCATTTGGACAACTTTAAAGATGATTTTCTCAATATTTAGATTTTTTTGCACCCTCAGATTCCAGATTTTCAAATAGTTGTATCTCGACCAAATATTGTCCTATCCTAACAAACCATACATCAATGGAAGCTTATTTATTCAGCTTTCAGGTGATGTATACATCTCAATTTCAAAAATTATATCCATAAAAAGTAACTGTAATCTGATGCATGAGCATTATAAAATGTAATATACTCTAATCATGAGTCCTTGATTTTTAGAATCTGATTACATGTAATCAGCTCTGTACATATTTACCTGACTAATAATAAATGGTTACATTTGATATTATTCTGCAATGATTGGCTCTAGTAGATTACACTACATCCATGTTACCACAAATCTGCATCCAGGGTTAATTACGTACTAGATCTCAGGTTAGATGGAGCATGTGACACATGAGGTGAGACTGTAGATCTGCTTGACTTGTTATGCAGTTGAATTCACTATAGAGGACTAGACAAAAATACCTTTGAAATAATAGCAAGCATATTTCACAGTACTAGCCATAACCTCTGATTAATGTTTCCACTTTATTCAAGTTGTTATATTAACTATAGGGGCTTGACAAAAATACTTTTGAGGTATTAGCAAGTATGTGGCGGCATACTTCACTGTACTAGCCATAAACTCTAAAGACTATTGTTTGAGCTTTAATTAAGTTGTTACATAGGGGACTAAATTGAGCTACTATTAAAAGAATGGCAAGCATGAGGCGGCCTGTTAAATAGTCTTAGTCCTAACCTCTGGCTAACGAGCAGACTGACGAGTTTATGACTGTGAGATTTGCGTTAACAGCTGACAAGAAACTCAAATGTGCAATTTAAAGTATAGAATATAATAATTTGAAATTGGCAAACAATCCATTTGGTTTTTTCCAGCCTAAAATCGAGGTTATAATGAAATGGAATCAGATTAGAGTTTAAGTGAAATTAAATTACAGAGTAAAAGACCGAGTACACAGGAAACCTTCAGAGTAAACTCTGATGAATCATATTTGAACATGATTTTTCTAAAAAAAAAAAAAAAAAAATTTTTAAAAAGGCGTCTGGATAATCAAGTAAAGCGAAGCTGCTTCAGTCCATAAGTGTTCCTCTTTAAATATTACTAACAATATCAAAGTTATTCTTACATTCACTTAATAAAATTATACTAAAAGACCTTATACGTGCTAAAAAAGTCTGCTAAATGGCATGTAGTAGATTGTGTGTCATTTAGAGGCCTTGCATGTCAAATATGATACAGCAGCTTTATAGGGTTAAAAACCATGAGCTTGATTTGATATCATCATACCTAAAATCCTCTATTGATTTCTTTTCCCCCTGTTGCTTCATTTGTGCTTTTCTCCTGTAATTCTGAAGCTCCTCGTCTGCTTTCCTCTTCTTGAGTTCTTCCATTCCAATGCCGCCTCTGTCTGAAAACAGCACAAGCACACACAGACCTCAGCGTTTCTGAACATCCGTCTTACATCACCAACAACACTCGCTGTTAAGAATCAGAGAAGAACCTGTTTTGATGTTCAGAGGAACCGGCTCGACGCGTCCAGCACCTGCAGCATGAGGACATGTTTTAATGCACATAAAACTATATTACACTGCTGTACAAAAGTTTGGGGTCAGTAAGAGTTTTAATGTGTTTTAAAGAAGTGTCTTCTGCTCATCAAGGCTGCATTTATTTGATCAGAAATACAGAAAAAACTGTAAAATTGTGAAATATTATTGCAATTTAAAATCTCTGTTAAACTGTAATTTATTTCTGAGATGCGCAACAGTTTCCAGCTCTGATAATAAATCAGCACATCACAATGATTTCTGAAGGATAATGATGCTGAAAATTCAGCTTTGCATCACAGAAATAAAATATATTTTGAAGTATATTAAAATAGAAAACCTTTATTTTAAATGGTAATAATATTGTACAATATGACATTTTTTTCTGTATTTTTAATCAAATAAACGCAGCCTTGATGAGCAGAAGAGTCTTCTTTAAAACACATTAAAAATCTCACTGATCCCAAACTTTTTTTTTTCTTCAAAAGCAAAGTCCATTTAAAAGTCCCAATCCCTGACCCTGTTTCCCCAGGCCTTGGCCTGCTTTATATCCCATCTTCTGCAGGAGCGCGAAGCCTTTATTTTGGCTGCTTAAGGAGCTCTGCAGCGCGGCCTCCCGACTCTCTCGCTCCTGCTCTTTGTAGCTCTTCTGCCGGTTCTGTGCGTTCTTCTCTTTCCGTAGAGCCTCTTTTTTCAAGGCTTCCTTCTCACGCTTCACCATCGGGACGCCAGGCCGAACATCCGGGCTGTTTTTGAGTAGAGAGCATCAAAACAATTCGACAAAACAGCATGTAAGGCACAGCTATTAATGTTTATATGCGAGCTGTAAGAATGGGGAATTATAGATGTTATTTAAAGTCAGAACTGAAACATTTGTATTTGTTTTCTGTACTTGATACAAGCTGACAAGCATATTCACAGACCCTTAGATGTTTCTGTGCATTCTGAAATATATTCATAACTGAAATGTCATTGTTAGTTTTTCAACAAGCTGCTTTCTTTGAATATATGCACTGCCGTTCAGTAAGATTGTTATTGTTTTTTAAAGAAGTCTCTTCTGCTCATCAAGCCTGCATTTATTTGATCAAAAATACAGAAAAAAGTAATTTTGTGAAATAGCCTATTATTGCAATTTAACAAAACCGTTTTCTATTTTAATATACTTGAAAATCTAATTTATTCCTGTGAAGCAAAGCTGCATTTCCAGCATCATTATTCCAGATTTTAGTGTCACATGATCCTTCACAAATCATTCTAATATATGCTGATTTATAATCAATGTTGTTTTAAAATGTTTGTTTAATTAGTTGTTTTGCTTAATATTTAATAAGAACAGTATTTATTCAAAATAAAAATCAACAACAGCAGTTTATTATTATTTACTAAATAATAATAAAAATAAAAAAACAGGCCATTAGGTCTTCTTTTGTGTTTAACGGCGGTGTGAGGCCTCGATGAACGAATATATTATATACTACTTAAAAAATAATAATAAAAATAATTCTAATCAAATCTGTATCTCTCAGATATTTTAGGAGAAAATCATAAACCCTTAGATGTTTCTGTGCATTCTGAAATATATTCATAACTGAAATGTCATTGTTAGTTTTTCAACAAGCTGCTTTCTTTGAATATATGCACTGCCGTTCAGTAAGATTGTTATTGTTTTTTAAAGAAGTCTCTTCTGCTCATCAAGCCTGCATTTATTTGATCAAAAATACAGAAAAAAGTAATTTTGTGAAATAGCCTATTATTGCAATTTAACAAAACCGTTTTCTATTTTAATATACTTGAAAATGTTATTTATTCCCTAATATTTTCCAGATTTTAGAGTCACATGATGCTTCAGAAATCATTCTAATATGCCGATTTATAATCAATGTTGGAAAGTTGTGCTGCTTAATATTTTTTGGAACCTGTGATATTTTTTCAGGATTCTTTGATAAATAAAAGGTTAAAAAGAACAGTATTTATTCAAAATAAAAATTGCGTTGAATATACACAACTATAATTCTTCTTCTTCTTTTCTTTTTTAAAAGAAACTTTTAGAATGCTTTTATTCAGCAAGGATGTGTTAAATGGATAAAAAGTCATATTGTTAGAAACGATTTCTATTTTGAATAAATTCCATTCTTTGTAACTTTTTATTTTATTTATGGAACACAGGTTCCAAAAAAATATTAAGCAGCACAACAGGTTCAACACTGATAATAAATCAGCATAAGAATGATTTATAAAAGGATCATGTGGCACCGAGGACTGGAGTGATGATGCTGAAAATTCAGTGCTGCGTCACAGAAATAAATTATATTTTAAAGTATAATAATTAAGATAGGAAACCAATATTAGAAATTGCAATAATATTTAACAATATTACTGTTTTTTTCTGCATTTTTGATCAAATAAATACAGCATTGATGAGCATAAGAGACTCCATTTAAAAAAAACATTACAAATCTAAAAGATATACCTGTGTGTGTGTGTGTGTGTGTGTGTGTGTGTGTGTGTATATATAAAATAGGTATGTGTGTGTATCCCTTATTATGTTGCTTATTTTTCTATGAAAAACCACGATTGTCCCTTATTTAACCTTTTCTGAGGTTGGCAACCCTAGTTAGAGTGTCCTATACAGATCCTGGTTATAACACTACACTCTTCAAAATAAAGGTGCTTCACGATGCCATAGAAGAACCTTTTTGTCTAAATGGTTCCATAAAGAACCTTTAACATCTGAAGAACCTTTCTGTTTCACAAAAGCTTCTTTGTGGCGAAAGAAGGTTCTTCAGATTACAAAAAGGTAAGAAAGAGATGGTTCTTTAAAGAACCTTTGACTGAATGGTTCTTTGTGGAACCAAAAATGGTTCTTCTATGGCATCGCTTGAAGAACCTTTTGAAGCACCTTTATTTTTAAGACTGTATCTTCTGTTTCCATATACCTTTCTTTCAATCCCCACTTTCTGTTGAATGCTAAATAAGTGTCTCCCTTTTGACTCTTTATTCCATACGTCTTGCCACATACCTCCAACTGCTGTTTTAATAATACCTTTCACTTCTGTTTTACTTTCTCTGTCAATCTCTTATGCACCTCCTCGTTTCCTTCTATGGGCAGGTATCCATAAAAACTCTACTCGTACTCCTGTTTGGTTCATTCTATATAAATTCTGTAATATTTCATAAAGTATATCCTGTCTAGATGCTGATTTCCCACTATTTAAGCTGTTTAATACTGAATATGAATCTGAAGAAACTACTACACTTATAGGATTGGTTTCTTCCACCCACTGCAAAGCCATTAGAATTGCCATCATGTCTGTTGTGAATACAGATACATCGTTGGATAACCTTTTAGCTGTGCTATATTTAAAATAGGGAATATATTTATGGCTGCTGCTGTATACCCAGAATCTGGATTTTTTGACCCATCCGTGTATATTTGAATGCTATTAAAATAGTTTTGTTTCAAATATTGATCCACTACTATTTCTTTAGGCATACACCTTTCCCTTTCATTTATTTTAAAGTGCAACTGGAGATCTACCATTGGCATGCGGCACAGCCAAGGGGGTATAATTGATATTAGAGCTACTGTTGAACTCACGGGGGAAGTCGTGGCCTAATGGTTAGAGAGTTGGACTCGTAACCCAAAGGTTGTGGGTTCGAGTCTTGTACCGGCAGGGATTGTAGGTGGGGGGAGTGAATGTACAGTGCTCTCTCCCACCTTCAATACCACAACCGAGGGGCCCTTGAGCAAGGCACTGAACCCCCGGGTGCCCACTGCTCCGGGTGTGTGTGTGCACCCTTTGGATGGGTTAAATGCAGAGCACTAATTCACCATACTTGGTCACTTCACTCATTTTTATGTCATTGATTCCTACCTTCTTAGCATCTGCATTGGCATTCCACCCCAAAGCTACAATAATTTACATACTCATGTTCCCAACATTTTTGTAAAACATCTTTGACTGGATGGGCTTCTACACGCCCCCTTACAGAACACCAGTATGCCATCTTTAACTTAAGTCTCCGGAGGTCTAAAGGCAACTCCACCTGCATCGCTGAGGCTGGCGATGTTCTAAATGCCCCACTTCCTATTCTTAGTGCTTGAGATTGGATACCACTTACTTTCTTCAACATAGATACTGATGCCGAACTATATACTATGCTGCCATAATCAATCATAGGTCTAATCATTGCACCATATACTCTTTTCGATGCCTGTCGGGTTGCACGCCAAACATCTTCAAATATTTATTCCCTTTTTACATTTATCTATTACTTTATTAATATGTGATGCAAAAGTTAGTTTTGAGTCCATCCATAATCCAAGGAACCTAATTTCTGTTACCTGCTCTAACATTTTTCCATAAATCTTTAGTTTAATATTTGGTGATTTCTTCTTTTTTGAGAAACATATCACTTTAGTTTTTCCTGCTGACAGTCTAAAACTCCACTTATTTACCCATTTTTCCACTTCATTAACTGCTTTCTGCATACTACTTTGCACAAATACTACATTTCTTCCCCTTTTCCACAAGGCACCATCATCCGCATATACAGATTTACCAAATCCTTGTCCAATCATTGAAAATATGTCATTTATCATTATGTTAAATAAAACTGGGCTACACACACTTCCTTGTGGGGTCCCATTATCTGTTGAGTAAGTCCTAGAATAGCTCGTTCCGACCCTTACTTGTATGCTCCTATTAATCAAAAAATTCATAATCCAATTGTACATTTTTCCTTTTATTCCCGTCTTGTCTAATTTAACTAAAAGTAAGGGGGACTCTTAATATGAAATCTGAATTTTTAAATTAATGATTTATTTGCAATAAATTATATACTCTGTTGCAATTATAAGTGCATTCCAGTCATATTTATTAATAGTTCAGGCTGCTATTCAGCAGTAATAATAATAATAATAAATGACTATTCTAATGTGTAAATCCACTAATAGCATTTACTAAGTCAGATATATATATTTGCTTTCTATAGAGTTTTAAATTAGACCTCATATTTTAATACGGTCAACCCGCTTTAGATGATGGAGAGGGACTCTTAATATGAAATCTGAATTAAAAAATGATTTATTTATTTGCAATAAAGTATATACTCTATAACAAATGCATTCCAATAATATTTCTATAATTTAAATAAAAGTTCAGGGTGCTTTTTTTTTAGCAGTGATTAATAATAATAGTAATAATAATAATAAAGTGTGCTGTTTGTTTACAATGCAACACATTGAAGAAGAGACACAGTCTTTGTTTGAATAAATATAACTTTATTTTCAAGAAAAACAACTATTGTACATGTTCACAAATTAGGTATTTGCATTTATTTATTCTAGTGACTGTATAACAATACATTGGCTTTGTAAACTTCCACAACAACTTATAATATCTAATATATAATCTTATTAATATAAGATTCTGTTATATTGCTCAGCAGAGAATTACCTGACGCAGCAGTATTCATAATATAAACAAAACTAAAAGATTTTTTTCCCTTCCACATGCAGCGTGAGAGAATTTAGATGCACATATTCTTGTGTAGTTCTTTATTAAATAGATTAGATGAGTTTCACTAATGCAACAGCTTCATTTAGGATCGGATGACAGTGTGACGTTTGCAAAGTATAGTGTTGTTTAGAAGACATCTCTGGGATCTCTCATGCTTTCTTTATTACACCGAAACATGAAACAATCGCTGTAGTTCATCTGCTGAAGCTCACATTCACAGCTGGTAATGCAACATACACACAGTCCAATAAAGAGACCAGATTAAAATGCAAAAGGCAGAACAGTCAAAAAATTACAACAAACTGACCAGAACAAAATTGCATAATGCCTCAAGTGGCACAAATTTCATTATAATGAAAGGAAAAATGAATGTGCAAATACGGTTAAATGCAGTGAGGAAATATATCCAGTATATCCAAATCAGGTTAAAGATATAGTTCAGCCAAAAACGTAACATTTGCTGAAAATGTGCTCACCTTCAGGCCATGTAAGATGTAGATGAGTTTGTTTCTTCAGCATTGCATTGGATGCTCTGCAGTGAATGGGTGCCGTCAGAATGAGTCCGAGTGCAATTGATAAAAAGTGCATCTGTTGTTGTCTCTCACATCCACATATTAGTTCAGAGCTGTTTAAACAGTGCTTGATCTGTGCAGATTTCTCTCCTGATTCACACCAGAACACTTTTTTCACTGGAGGAAGCGTTATTATGGATTGTGGACTCAATGGTATTTTAGTTATAAACGTCTTAATGCTGGATTTGTTTCAGCTTTTGTCTTCTCCAGATGTTAACTGATGGACGAGTGCTGTGGATTATTGTGATGTTTTTATCAGCTCTCATTCTGACGGCACCCATTCACTTCAGAGCAAGTGATGCAATGCTACATTTCTCCAAATCTGATGAAGAGGCAAACTCAGGATGACCTGAGGACGAGCAGATTTTGACTTCAACAACAAATGAGTGCAGAGACATCAGATCCTCATTTGCTTTTAGATCGTTACTCCATCTACTTTAAAATATCTGCTGCGAGCATCTACAGCTCCTCACTTTCTGCCCTTCGCTCTGGTTGGGAGGCAGAGAATATGTCGCTCATGGGAAAGGCTGACTTTATATCCAGACCCTGGCTGGTGAGAGCAGCGTATCGACTCCCGCTGAGCTGCGTTTTCTTCATCGGTGCATGAACGTGCTGATACCACTGAGCTGCAGAAACAACACGTGTGGAAATATCTGTTACTGAAAAACTTCTGCATTCGGCATAAGTGAGGTGAGTAACTTTATTTACAGATAGCTGACAAAACTACATCTTTTAGCATTTTTGCATAGTTAAATATGATATAATTGTATAAGAGAAAGTGCATATTTCAGAATTTTATCTTTATTAATCAACTTTTTGCAGTTCATTGCACTCGTCCTGCAGTATGACAAATACATTTACTAAAATACAAACATTTAATGTTGTGTGTACAATTTAAGGTCATAAAAACACGCATTGTAATAACTTCTAAAATAACTACCGTAGTTATTTCTACATTTCTAACTAGTTATGTCTAGAATATCTAGAAAAATTGTGTTTAAAGTAGTTTTAGGTGGAGTATAATATAGTAGTGGAATTTAATTTAATTATTAGAAAATGTATTTAAATAATTCCATTTTAAACAGTCTTAGATGGAGTATAATATAGTGGTTTAATTTGTAATTATTAGAATAATTTCTTAAAACAATAATAAATATTATGTTTAAAATAGTTTTAGATGGAGTGTGATATACTAGTTTAATTTAATGTTTTATTTTTAATTATTAGAATAATATAATAATATAAAATGCAATAATATAAAAATAATTAGAAAAACACTTTTAAAATAGTTTTAGATGGAATTTAATTTAGCTCTCTTTATTTATTTCTCACCAGATAGTAAAGGTACTGTATGTGTATTTTACGGTACCGTAACTTTACTAATTTATAGTGCTGAAATATTAAAAATATGACTGGCTCACCATATATGTCTAGTCTGGCTGTACATGATACGATCCCTGCCTCATTTTTTGCAGACACCGTGTACCAGCCTGCATCTTCCTTTCTGGTCGGTTGAATCAGAAGACAAACATAACCCGTAGTGTCCTGATGCATGCTGGGATAACAAAGACACAGAACATATATGCTTAACATATACTGCATTTATGTTCTCAAGCACATTGTCGATCATATCTGGGAAACCCTACTGAAGGGAGCTGCTGCTTTGGTTCCTGGTCCAGCAGAAGTGAGCAGACTCACCTGACTCTGTCCTTCGAGTGAGGGATCGTGTCATTGTCTTTCTTCCAGAAGATGAGCGGCTGCGGCATCCCCACAACCCTGCACTCCAGACGCACCGGGGAGCCCTCGGCGATGCCCGTGTTCTGCAACTTTTCCACGAAATGCGGCGCCTGCTTCAGCTCTTTCTCTGCATGTGTTTATGTGACGGGGAAAAGAGGGTCAAGCATCTGTGTTATTAAGTCAGATTTGCAAGATATAAACTTAGAATTCTGGCTTCTTCTCTCAGAATTGCGAGATGTAGTAAAGTCCAATTCTGAGTGAAAAAAAGACTGACTATTTTCTTACAATTGCGAGTTTATATCTCTGACTTTATAACTCGCAACTGTGCTTTAATAAATACATCGACAAGTCGAAATGATGACATAAAAAGTCATAATTATTAGATAAACGTTATAACTATGAGATGCATTATAATTATGATGCAAGTAAAAATTATGACAAAAAGTTAAAAAAAATTATAATTATGAGATAAGTTAATTATGACATAAGTAGAAATTACGACAAAAAAAAAAAAACTTTATAATTATGAGATAAGTTAATTATGACATAAGTAGAAATTACGACAAAAAATTAAAAAAAAAACGTTATAATTATGAGATAAGTTAATTATGACATAAGTAGAAATTACGACAAAAAGTAAAAAAAAAAAGTATAATTATGAGATAAGTTAATTATGACATAAGTAGAAATTACGACAAAAAGTTAAAAAAAACGTTATAATTATGAGATAAGTTAATTATGACATAAGTAGAAATTACGACAAAAAGTTTTTAAAAAAAGTATAATTATGAGATAAGTTAATTATGACATAAGTAGAAATTACGACAAAAAGTTAAAAAAAAAAGTATAATTATGAGATAAGTTAATTATGACATAAGTAGAAATTACGACAAAAAGTTAAAAAAAAAGTATAATTATGAGATAAGTTAATTATGGCATAAGTAGAAATTATGACAAAATAAAAAAATATTATAATTATGAGATAAATCAGAATTTTTACATAAAAAGTCAATTATTAGATAAAACGTTATAACTATGAGATACATTATAATTATGACATAAAAAGTCAATTATGACAAGTCAAATTTATGACATAAAAAGTCAAAAATATTAAGTCTTAGACAAAATGTTATAATTATGAGAAGTTAATTATGACATAAGTAGAAATTATGACAACAAGTTTTTAAAAAATTATGAGTTAAGTCAAAAATATTACATGAAAAGTCATAATTATTAGATAAAAAGTTAGAATTCTTATAATGGCATAATTATGGCATAAAAAGTAATGCAAACATACTCATAATAGTCATAATTGTGAGAAAGTCAAAACTGGCATGAATTTATGATAAAGTCAAAAATTAGATTATGAAATTATTATGACATAAAAAGTAAATATTATGAGATAAAGTCATCATAATAAGATAAATTATGATACACTAAGTCATAAAGACTTAATATTCATATGTTTTATTGTCATAACTATGACTTTTCATCTCATGATGATTTACTATGCCATAATTTTGATTTTGTTTTTGTTATAATTATGAATTTATATCTCAGAATTTTGACTTATGTCATAACTATGACATTCTAAGTCATAAATATGATTTACCAAAGCACATTTTTTAATTTTATGATTTGATTTTATGATTTACCAAAGCACAATCTTAGTATGATACACTAAGTCATAAAGACAGTAATTTCTATTGTCAATAATTATGACTTTTCATCTCATGATGACTTACTATGCCATTTCTTTTTCATAATTATATTATATTTATATTTTGACTTATGTCATAACTATGACATTCTAAGTCATAATTATGATTTACCAAAGCACAATTTCTTTATTCTTATGTGGCAGAAATGGGCTTTCTAGTACTTTAATGTTAAAAAGTACTTACCCACTACTCTGAGCTCGAGGCCGAATGAACTCTGTCCAGCTTTATTTGAGGCGATGCAGGTGTACGTCCCGTCATCAGCTTGAGTCAGAGGGTCAATAACCAGAGAATGGATGCCGTTTTCTCTCACGAGCATTCGGTGAGTGAGGTCTGGATATATGGGCCTCCCGTTCAGAAGCCACATGATTTCAGGATGAGGTAACCCACTCACCTAAACAGCAGAGAGGAGGGTTCAGGACATGAAGACTCTTTCTGCAATATCTTATTTGTCAGTGTGTTTACATGCACGTTCTTAAGCCGTTTATGCTTAATAAGCATGTAAACGCCGTAAGCCGTTTTCTTTTATCAGAGTAAGGTCATCAACGGTTTAAGCATAAGCTAGTCGACTCGACACAGGTAGTTTTTTGCCTCGTGTAAATGCATTAACCTGCTTTCTGTGGGATTATTGAAGTGTGCATGTGTGATACGTGACAGGAACGCATCCTTAGTGCAGATCTGAGCGAAATATATCACAAACGCAGACTCTTTCACGACCCAGAAAATAATCAAAATGTGTTCTCATCTCGTGCAGCAGAAGTGGTTCAGTCAAAACGCTGCTTCTGTAACTGCATGAGAGGATAATATATGAGCTGTCAGTGTCCCGCTGACATGTTGCAAGCTTTATTTAGCATTACAGCTGACGACATCTGGACTGCATAAATGATTGTGTTTTGACGACACGACAGGGAAATAACCTGATTTATTAATAAAGTCATGCAAACGCAGTATTGCGTTGTCAGGTGTAAACGGGGAAAACTGCTTATTTTAATAAGCTGATATTTGTTAGTTATCAGCTTACTGGTGTGCATGTAAACATGATAACAGACAAAAGTACTCGGACACTTCAGTCACTTTTCAAGCTTTTTGAAATTAGACAAAAAGAGTTTAAATAGTTTTAAATGATACAATGAAATACAAAGCCACTTAAGTGACTTCATGACCATGTTTCTTAATGCACTTAAGTAGATTTAAAAAGTGCATTTTGTAGTAATGTCAAATTAGACTTTTTAATTTAAAATATATTGTAAACCAGGGTTATTACAGAAAACAAAAACTAATATTAAAACCGTAAAAAAAAGAAAAAATGTATAGCTTGAAATGAAATGGATGTAAACTGAAATAAAATATAAAATGTTATTTTATTTCAGCTAGTTGCCAAGGCAACATTTCTCACTTTAATTGAGCTTAACATGATGTACTAACATAACTAAAACAGAAATAAAAATGTATAAAAATTATATAGACATATATATATAAAAAAAGGGAAAAATGACAAAAACTGATTTTAAATATTAATTAAAAACTGTAATAGTGCCTCAATGATACTAAAATAACACTGCTGTAAATCAATCATTGTTTTAAATAGATGACATGCATTTCAATGGAAAATACATTAAAGTATATTTTAGTTTATCAGTACATTTAGCAGTACACTGAAGTAATTATAAAAAAGATATATGTACTCAAGTCCTGCTTTCTACCTTCTTAAGTTCAAATAATTGCATTTAATATACATTTAAACTATTAATACATTTTAATTTAATTGCAATTGACATGCAACAGAGTCCAAAACATTACATTCAGTTTGCACTTCATGTATATTACTTTAAAGGGTTTTCTTTCAATAAGTACTTGTTTTAAAAGTATGGTAAAGTGTACTTCTTTTTCTCAAGGGATGGATGTTGTTTATTAAGTCTGCTAGGACTCCTAATGCAATGTTGTTCAGACTGTTTAAGAGCTCAAGTATGTTTAGGGATCACTGCAGGTTACATCTTGCTGGAATATCTCCAGTACCTTGCAGTCTAGCCTACAGAGCTGTCCCTCATGAGCCGACATGTCTCCCGGAGCCTGCAGGAAGTGCGGACGAAAGAAGCGCTCTTGAGCCGGCTCGCCCTCCACTTCCTGTACACGCGCTCGGACTCTGGGGAAATCAGAAATATTATACATACAAGTCTATAAAACTTGTCTCTTTGTCAGCCATTGCAACTGGAAAACAACTTTATATATGCATTACACTACCGGTCAAAAGTTTGGGATCAGAATGATTTTTAATGTTTTTTTAAAGAAGTCGCTTCTGCTCAAGGCTGCATTTATTTGATCAAAAATGCAGAAAAAAACATAATATTGTGAAATATTATTACGATGTAAAATAACGTTTTTCTATTTTTATATACGTTAAAGTGTAATGTATTTCTGTGATGCGCAGCTGTATTTTCAGCATCATTACTGCAGTCTTCAGTGTCTCATGATCTTCAGAAATCAGTCTAATATGCTGATTTATTATCAATGATTGAAACAGTTTTGCTGCTTAATATTGTTTTGGAAACTGTGATACTTTTTTTCAGGATTCTTTGATGAACAAGAAAGTTAAAAAGAACAGCATTTATTTAAAATAGAAATCTTTTCTAACAATATACACTACCGTTCAAAACTTTAGGGTCAGTACATTTTTATTCTTTCTTTTTTGAAAGAAATTAAAACTTTTATTCAGCAAGGATGTGTTAAATTGTTACGAAGTGATAGCAAAGATTTATAATTTGAATAAATGCTGTTCTTTTTAACTTTTTATTCATCAAAGAATTTTTAAAAAAGTATCGCAGTTTCCCAAAAAATATTGTGCAGCACAACTGTTGATAATTCTGATAATAAATCAGCATATTAGAATAATTTCTGAAGATCATGTGATGCTTTATACTGGAGTAATGGTGCTGGAAATTCAGCTTTGCATCACAGAAATAAATGATATTTTAAAGGATATTCAAATAGAAACCATTATTTTATATTGTAATAACATTTTGCGATTTTTTCTGTATTTCTGATCAAATAAATGCAGCCTTGATGAGCAGAAGAGACTTCTTTAAAACACATTACAAACTTTTGACCGGCAGTGTATATATATATGTATGAAAACTTGATCCGACTCACCTCTGCGAGTGAACCGTGGTCCGGTTTCGCACGGGACCCGTTTGGACAATCAAATGGCCAGAGCAGCTTATTCTACCCTGTGGACATGAAAACAGGCTTAACTGTCATTTAAACTACAATTCACAGTCGTTTCTGATGATTTTCTCCAGCATGTTACCTGTGGATTCGCTGCCATGACTGTATAATTGCCGTCATCGTCACTCGTGACCGCTTCTATGTGTAATGAGCACGTCCCATCACCCTCTCTGATCTTCTTATAGTGCTCGTTTTTCTTCAAAATCTGCTTTCCATCCTTAAACCAGTAAACCTGTGTGAAAAGTACAAATTAAAAGTCCATCAGCAAGTAGTTTGGACAATATACATGCTTGAAGATTGAAATTAATATCAACTGTATAGGAAACATAAATTATTTAGAAAATAGTAATGATTAATTATTTAATCTACACGCACTAACCAGGATTTTTCAGCTATTTAAAAGAAATTAGTCGTTTTATTCAGCAAGAATGCATTCAATTGATCAAAAGTGACAGTAAAGACATTTATAATGTTACTATTGATTTCAAATAAATGCTGTTCTTTTGAACTTTCTATTCATCAAAGAATCCTGAAAGATAAAATGCATCACAGTTTCCACAAAAATATTGTGCAGCGCAACTGTTTTCAACATTGATAATAATCAGAAAAGTTTCTCGAGCAGCAAATCAGCATATTATACTGATTTCTGAAGATCATGTGACACTGAAGACTGGAGTAATGATGCTGAAAATACAGCTGCGCATCACAGGAATAAATTGCATTTTAATATAGAATAACGTAGAAAACAGGTATTTTAAATTGTTTAAATGTCACAATTTTTACTGCATTTTTGATCCAATAAATGCAGCCTCTGTGAGCAGAAGAGACTAATTTCAAAAACATCAACAACAAAAAAAAAGTCTTACCAACCCCAAACCTTGAATGGTAGTGAACACAATAAAAGTGTTATTTTCTGAGCATGCATTACAATAAAAATCACAGGCTGTCAAAAACTCACTTTAGGAATTGGAATTCCAACAACTTTGCAGGTAAATGTGACCGGAATCCCTTCCACAGCTCTGAAGTGCTTCAGTTTCTTGTTGAAGATGGGCGCGATGCATTTTCCAGAGGGAATTTCATTGTGCTGAACTTCATCGTCCGACTCTTCAACTGGAGTTCTTTCCAAACGAAACCCGATCTCACTCATGAGCCTCTGCTCAAAGCTCGACACCTTGTATTCCTACAAAACACATCATTACGAATCAACGTATTATCTGAGATCATTTGTGAATGTGCCCCATTTATGTTTTCATACTAATTAAAGCAGCTTTGAAAAAGGTTTTCCAGGTTCTTTGGAAACATTGCACACAGTTGCTACCCGAATGTTAACGTTTCCAGTACAGTCGCATATTTAAACAATCAAACTGATCACAGTTATGTCTGAAATTAACAATAAACAAACAAACAAAGAAATATCTGATAAATGGTACCAGATCACATCAGAGTGAACTTGTATGTTTGCATGACACATCTGACAACATGCAAACCAATTACAATATATTGTGGAGATAATGTAACATTATAACATAGACTGAATTATTTCAAGTAAAATAGTCCCCAAAACATCATGTTCTTATGGAAGCTTATTTCCAGCAAAGAATTTTTAAAAAGCAGTAAAAAAAGAAAAGAAATTTTTTTTGTTGTTTTTTTTACTCACAACACTTTTTTCCTTGTAATTCTTGGAGAAAAAGTGAGAATTGTGAAATATAAACTCAGAATTGTGAGATAAAAAGTCGCATTTAGCATTTTTATATTTTTTTATCCCATGCCAAAAACAAATAATACAGAATTGCGAGATTTAAACTCAAAATTCTGAGAAAAAAAAGCCAGAATTGCGAGATTTAAACTTAGATTGTGAGATACAAATCACATTTAGCTTTTTTTTTTATCCTGTGGCAAAAACAAATAAAGCAGAACTGCTAGATGTAAACTCAGACACTTTTTTTTCTTGTAATTCTTGGAGAAAAGGTGAGAATTGTGAAACATAAAATCAGAATTGTGAGATAAAAAGTAACATTTAGCATTTTTATTTTTTTTTATCCCATGCCAAAAACAAATAATACAGAACTGTGAGATTTAAACTCAAAATTCTGAGAAGAAAAGTCAGAATTGCAAGATTTAAACTCAGAATTATGAGGAAAAATTCAGAATGGCAAGATTTAAACTCAGAATTATGAGGAAAAATTCAGAATTGCAAGATTTAAACTCAGAATTATGAGGAAAAATTCAGAATGGCAAGATTTAAACAGATGATTCTAAGAAAAAAAAGCCAGAATTGTGAGATATACACTTAGATTGTGAGATAAAAATCACATTTAGCTTATTTTTTTATCCTGTGGCAAAAACAAATAAAGCAGAACTGCTAGATGTAAACTCAGAACTCTGAGAAAAAAAGTCAGAATTGCAAGATTTAAATTTGAGATAAAGTCACAATTACTTTTTTATGTTTTTATTCCATGGTGGAAACAAGCTTGCATATATTCTGGGGGTTATAGTGAGGATGAAAAATGGTCATATAAAACTAAATTATGACTGATTTTGGTGCAAAAAATAAATAAAGTAAATAAAAATAAATATTAGGTTACTAAATAGCTATGATATGACCCCTTTAACACACCTTCCCATTTTAAAATGATATCTCAAGAGGCCTGTCCGGTAACAGCTCGCCTTCAGTTCTGGATGTCCGCCAACATGTCTGAATGCAGTCACCTCTATTTATAATACAGAAGAGCCCTGTTCATTCCCATCTCTGTCTAGTCTCTTCATGTTTACTCACGTACAGACACTGAACTGAGTTTGCATTGAAAACACAACAATAACCCAAACTGCAGATGCAGTGCTCATGTCATTATTGCTTCTGTTTGAGATATCCATTGATATCCATATCAACATTCTCATTTAGTTAGTATGTAACATGTAGCATTAAATTAAACTAAAGCTGCTCATGCATAATCTTTTGTGACAGACTTCTAGTTAGAGTATTAGTTACGATTTACAAGGAAGCGTCTATAAAAATATTTCTTAAATGAGTCTGACTTCAGGTTTTAATGTTAAAATTTGTTCAGATTTTAAAATAATTAAGGCCTCAAACATTCAAACAATTAATTTTACATAACATAACAGTAACACTTTACAATACGGTCCCATTGGTTAACATTAGTTAATGCATTAACTAACAATAAGGAAGACATTTGTTATTTTATTTATTAATCTTAATAATACTAATATGTCATATCTAATCAAATATCTTTCTATACTAATCTAATTTATGAAACGTTAGTTAATAAAAAGATACATTGAAATGAACTAAAATTAACAAGTATTTTTTATTGTTAGTTCATGTTAACAAATGTAATCGTATCATAAAGTGTTACTAATGAAATATACTGCATCTTCCTCTAAACTGAGTTATTATCCATGCAGTTCCATTAGTGGAAAAAAGCCACAGCTTTAAATTAGCTCATCTTGCTTCTTGTTTAAATCAAAATTGATTCTTATATAATGAAACGAATGCACTTCAGAACAAAGCACTGCTTGCAATGGAGAAAATTCCTTGTACCTCGTCATAGTTAATGACAGTTGCGGTGGGAATGTTTGGTCCGAGCGGGCGGCTCACTTCCCCCCCATAATTCGGCTTCTATGGAGGACAGGATGAATGACGGTGATGTAAACACAGACACTAGTCACACATCAATACAAATGTGTGATAAATAGTGTTTCTATAGTGTTACGCAGACAAGAAACACTCCAGTGTGTACAGTGTTAATACGATGCATGATGCACATCTGACACATGAAATGTGTTAGAATGTGAAAACAGATTCTTAAATGGGATGCAAAGCCACTAAATGATGCATGGAGATATACAGACCACAAACAGAAATTAAAACAAAAGGTTTTCATTTATAAATGAGAGTCAGCAATACTGACACTTAAAATCAACATGAAACAGCCTGATGTGAAACAGGATATTTAATGAGAAAAGAGGTAGGTTTGATTTTATGTTGACTTTAAACATAGATTTAATTTAAGTCCAAATTATAAATACCCTTACAGAACACCTATTTACAGGACTATGATATAAAGTACAAATATAAATGCAAATGCAAAAAATAATTAAAAAGTAGAAAAAATTGCAAGCATGCATGTGAATTTTACTTCACAAATGCCATTACAGCGATATATAAAAATAATAAAAAATGAAATATGGTGTCATGAAGGAATTACAAATCTGTATAGATAATTATATAATTATCTATTTATAAACCCGTCTGTAATTCTCACATGGCATCATATTTCTACAACAATCTTTTTGTTATATATTTTTGCATTTGGTGCAAGCCAACCAAGAGTTAGATTCAGTTTCAAAATCAAAAAGAAGCTTAAAAGCTTATTAAGAACAAGAGAGAAAAAAATAACATGTTTTTGCCAATATAATTATGAAGTCCTAGCTATTTTGTCATAAAGGGTAGCAGAGATTTATTTTAGAGTATAGCTGTTGTACTTAGAACATGTTATTTAGGGGATATTTTTCTTCCCTATTCCTTCTCCATCTCCTTCAATCAGTGTTTTGTGTAACTTAACTATTACAAACGACGATTAAACCCTCAGTAATAGTGTCTCACATAAAGATCCCATAACTCAAAGTAAGATGTTCAGAAACAGCAAAATCTTCAGTGAACCACAGAAGATGAGCAATTCGATATCTATCAATCCTGGAAAAGCACAGCCTACTTTTTGTACTATACACTGGTCAAACAAAACCCCTTGACACCATGTACCTGCTGCCCAAAATGAAGCTGTTCATCTTTAAATCGCAACTTCTTCTCAATATCTTGTAAAAGCGTTTCCTTGCTCTCACGGATGTTGTCATCAGACATGAGTCTGGAACCTCTTTGATTCTTCTTCAGTGCACCTTGAGGCCTGAACATGGAGTAACACAAGACTGAGGTAAGTCATTAAAATAAGATACAAATGCATCTTCAAATATGAGACACATAGAAATTCTGCTGTAAAACAGCTCTAAAAAGACGATAGTGTCATTATTTAGCTCAACTAGCCAGTTCAGTCTAGTCACAATGATTAACAGCCCATTGGAGTGCTATCATTAGATTAGGCTTCAGCTATCTGGAATATAGTGCACAAGTCATATAGACCACTTTTATGGTACTGCATCCTTTCTGAAACTTGAGAGCCCCAGTTCTCAACTCACATTCGTTGTATTGAGAAAACAGCCAGGATATACAAAAATCAACCAGAAGAAAGAAATTCATATGGATTTGGAACATGAGGGTGAGTAAACGATGAATCGGTTTACATTTTTGGGTGAACCATCCCTTTAAGAGAAAGTGTGACCTTCAAACCATAGTATGATATTACAATATTATAATGCAGAGGTCTTCAACCCTGCTCCAGGGGACCCACTGTCCTGTAAAGTTTATTTCCAACCTGCTTCAGCACACCTGAAGAACTTGATTAGCTTGATTAGGGTTGGAACTAAACTCTGCAGAACAGTGGCCCTCCAGGAGCAGGGTTGAAGACCTCTGCTATAATAAAATGTATTTGTGTTTGCTTACCCAGGTGGGGCACTCTTAGGCAACCCCATGGCATTGGTCAGAGGAGATGTTGGAAGTGAAGGAAGGACTGAACTAAGGAAGGCCACTGGATTTTGGATGGGGCTAGGGGTGGAGCTGCTAGACGTTGGTGAAGAAGCTTGTGGGGGTGACTGAGGTCTAAAAGAAAACACTGAATTCACCAGCCCAGGAGGCACTAGAGGTGGTGAGGACACATATGGTGGGCTGCTTGGACACTCCAGAACTCTTGTTGGGAACTTTCTTGGGGATGGAAATAACTGGTTGACGGGCGATGTGAGCTCCCGTGTCGACTTCGGGAATATCTGTGCAGCTAACTCGTGGAGCATTGGAACAGGAGACTCGGTTGGGGAAGGACTCCTGATAGGAGAGAGCATCTGGGCAGCGATGAACTCCTTTGGCCTTGTGTAGCTGAAGCTCTGGGTGGAGATTGGAATAATCCCAGGAAGTGGAGTCTGGGTGTCGTGCAACGGAGGTGGAGACATTGGACTCGGGATGGGTGCAGGTTGATTTCTCACCAGATGCGGTGAGGTGATTTTACTCAGGGATGGATAAGACACAGCTTGAGAATATGTGACTTGTGGAGCCATGCTGGGATGAAAATTTGAGGGGGTGTTTATCTTTGGTGCAGTGCTGTACAATGCTAATGCATCAGGTATCATCAATGCCTGTGTTCTGGCAACACTCGTGTCACTAACGGGAACAGAGTTCATTTGCAAGGTTGGATTCATGTTTATTTGTGAAATATGAGTGGAAGGAGTAATGGGTGGCATGTTGGCCACATGGTTAGGTGGTTGGGTTGTTGGAGCCATGATAAGTTGATGAAAAGGTGCAGACGGTCCCACATTTGGAGGGATAGGGATGTTGGGAGCTATTCCGGGCTGAGTTATTGGGATTGTTGGTATCACACTTGGCATAGGGGTGACTGGAGCCACATTGGATGAGATTGGCCCCATATAAAGCTGAGGAAGAGTGGAAGCTATATTTGTTTGGGTTAGTAGGGTAGAGGGAATCATACATGGTGGAAAAGTACTTAAAGTAGTAGGAACCAGATTTGGTTGAGGTATTGGAGGGTGGTTGTGTAAGGTTGTGGCTGATGGAGTAAGTTGGGGCAAGGGCATGGAATTGGTTAAAGGCATGCTCAGTTGGGATACAGGTACAGCTTTTAAAATGGGAGCAGGTCTTGTAGGAAGTAGAGGGACATATTCAAGGATCGGCAGTGGAATTGGAGCAGAGTTCATTACAAGAGGAGGTGGTTGGAGTGGTGATGGCGCTGGATTTGCAGGTTGAGTTGGCTTGACAGGCGTTGGCTCAGAACTTGTCCCGTCTAAATGTGGTGAATCTTGGCTTGGGGAAACGTTTTCTTGCTGCTGTTCCAAAACCACCTGGTTGTGGAGGATCTGTAGCTGCACTGGGTCTCTAAGATAAGACAAAATAAGGGGAAAACAAACATGTTGGGTCTACTTCAGAAGGTCCTAAATGTAATTTTAGGGTGTTTTCACACATGGCCTGTTGTTTCGGAACCTGGCGCGTTTCCCCCCTTAGCACGGTTCGTTTGGGCATATGTGAACACGGCAATCGCACTCGGATCCGCGCCAAAACAATCGGTCCGAGATCGCCTGAACGAGGTGGTCTCGGCTCGATTGAAAACGAACTCTGGATCGATTCGGTTGTAGTGAGAAAGCAATCCGATCCAACGGACCAACGAACCAGGCTATATCACAATGTATAATGGGTAATTACATAAGTTTCGTGAAAAGCATTAGCTTTGTTGTTTTGCTAATACCTCAAAATGAACCTGTGAATGTCTGTGGGAGAGCACGTCTTTGCCATTCAAAAATTAAAGCGCACTTTTTTGTTTTATAATGCCGTCTTATTGCTCTTCTTTGTAGTATGTGCATTTTAAAAATGTTTTCCCAATCAATCCTGGACTCCTGCTCAAAATGATAAATTATTATTAACGACAGCTACAAAAAACCCAACAATAAGCCCGCAAAGCTGATATTGTTCCATTCTGACAGATGACAGCTGTGACAGCTCAGTGGAATCCCGGAAAATAAACCGTGGAACTTTGACCAATGAGAGAACAGTTTACTCGCGCGTGACTTGTATTAACAAATTTGGTCCGTTTAGAAATTTTGCTGTGTGAAGCGAACCGCACCAAGAATAAAAAGCAACATTGTAATCATTTGAATCCCTGTTTCGGAACAAAGCAATCGATCTACAGGTGTGAAAACACCCCTAGGCTTGATTGTGTTTATGGGGTGCAGTCTAACATGTGTTAATGCTTAGTTTTTTTTAAAAACGCATTATTTTTCACATAATTTACCTTTACGTACGCTCTTTGGACAATAAACTGGACTACATCCGACTACTACGCTCGACTCAGAGGACTGTAAGAGACTGTTGTGTTTTTGTGTTCACGGAAACATGGCTCAACAACAGCGTTCCGGACTGCGCTATTCATCTCGATCAGCTGACATGCTATCGAGCGGACAGAGCTCGCGTCGAGGGAGGTAAGACCCGCGGCGGCGGGCTTTGTGTTTACATCAATGATGCGTGGTGCCGCAATGCTGTTGTGGTCTGCAAACACTGCTCACCCCTGGTGGAGTTTATGATTATTAAGTGCCGGCCGTTCTATCTACCGAGGGAATATACAGCCATACTGCTCGTTGCTGCATACATCCCTCCCAGCTCCAACAACAGCAACAGGAGCGAGGCACTAAATGAACTGTACCAGCACATCAGTGAG